CCGGCCCTACCGTGAAAATCTCCCCAAATCTCTCCAAAAAAAAAGACCTAACCTTACTTTTCCTTTTTTTTTTCTTTTTGGTTAAAATATTACTTATTCATTTATTTATTTTTATTTTGACCAGAAAGTGAAGGAGAGAAAGCAAGCTGCCAGGTCTGAGACTCAAACCCCAAATGGTAATGTGGTGCCCTAACCATACCACCTGCCAGCTCCCTACCCTCGCTTTCTCTTCTTTACTTTTCCTGTTCTCTGAGAGGCTTTTGCTATAAAGCGCATGTGCTCACCATAGAGAGAGACAGAGACAGAAAGCGAGAAATCACCCCCCCCAGGAGGGATGGCCACGCCACAATCCCTTCTCCTCCATTCTCCTCTCAGGATCTTGGGCATGCACGCACACACGCCCGGCATGAGTTTAGCCACCAGGTCCGGGACTCGAACCGTAATCGACAACATGGGAGTCCAGCAACATAGGCATTACACTAACTGCTGGTCCCCCCTACCCTGACTATCTATTTAATACTGTGATCTGCCTTCCACGCCACTCACTGCCCACTCCCAAGCCCCCTTACAGGGCATGAATTGTTTAACTTTTTATTTTGGAATCAGTGTGAATTTACACAGGGTATAAGAACTAACACAAAGGGAGCTAGAAGGTGGTGCAGGGTAAAACACAGCAGTCTAAGAGGCTGACTCACGTGGAAGGGTTAGGTTCATATTTGGAGGCTTCTCCAATTACACCAGGTACATGGCGTGCCCATGGCCCAGGGCTGGCTGAACCTGGGGTGAAGACCTTGTTAAGGGGTACTGTCTGTCCCTCTCTACCTCTCTGTCTCTCCCACTCCAAGGAATAAATTTTTAAATAGTAACAATGCAGAACTTTTCTGTAAACTATTGACCTAGTTTTCCTCAAAGGTATTCTCTTGTAGAACGACAGTGAAATATCGTCTGCATGACTTTTTCTCCTATTATAATTTTATAATATACTATAATAGGTTTCTTAAGCTATCATTTGTCTACCCCCACTGAAATATAATGGCCTTGTGGATAGGAGTCTTCATCTAACTCCTGTGCACAGCTGTAACCCAAGAACAGGGTCCAATGCATAGCATTTGTTGAATGTATCAAGTATTTGTAGGATGTATCAAAGCATTGTATCACACTGCCTTCTCCAACAGGAAACAGATCAGCTCTTCAGGAGACCACTTTGGTAAAGGAGAAGATTCTAAAACATCAGAGAAACATTACACTCACCCATGGTGACATATGGCAACTTATCAGTTGATCCGTGAGGATAGATGCTGTAGAGGTGAGGTCCAGTAACATCTACTCCCCCTAAAACTAGGGCTGCACCAATGTAACCTTGATACCTGGTGATCAGAATTTGCATAAGAAAAAAAAAATGAGTCTACATAGCATCACTTTATTGCAACCAAAAGCTACACAAGCCAGAGGACAAAAAACTTCTGATTCGGTTTCATTCAGTGGTTACTATTTTAATGAGAACAAAAGAGAGAAGAAAACTAAGATTAGATGAACATCTACTATCTGTCAATATAAATGATAAACTGTGTGAGGCACTCCACACACCCCATTTCAGCTCAGCCTCACAGCTCCCTTTAAAAGAGTACACTCTTGGGGGCCAGCAGGTGGCACTGTGGTTAAGGCACTGGACACACTCATGTGGCCAACCACAGTACAAATCACAGACCTGGTGGTTTTCTCACTTTCCCTCTTTCTTTCTCCCCCTGGTCAAATTAAAATAAATTAATGAATAAATAAATAAATATTTTTTCTTTTTTTAAGAGAGATTTTTGCTATAAAGTGTATGTGCTCATCAGAAAGACAGAAACAGAGAGCGAGAAATCATTCTGGATAGCCACGCCACAATCCCTTCCTCTCCATCCTCCTCCTAGAATTTTGGGCATGCACACACACGTGCCTGGCATTGAGTTTCAAGCTGCCAGGTCCAGGATTCGAACCACAGTTGACCACACAGGAGTCCAGCAACGTAGCCATTATGCCATCAGCTGGTCCCTAAATAATTCTTTTAAAAAAACGGGGGGAGGCAGCAGGTGGCATGGTGGTTAAGGGTGCTGGACTCCCACATGGATGACTGTGGTTTGAGTCCTGGACCTGGTAGCTTGCTTTCTCATTTTCTCTCCCTCTCTCTCTCTCACTCTCTCTCTCTTGTTCTTGCTCTTGCTCTGTCCCTCTCTGGTAGGGAGGAAATAAGGAAAGAAGGAAGGAAGGAAGGAAGGAAGGAAGGAAGGAAGGAAGGAGGGAAGGAAGAAAGGAAGGAGGGAGGGAGGGAGGGAAGGAAGTAAGGAAAGAAGAAAGGAAGAAAGAAAGAAAGAAAAATAATTCGGGCCAGCAGGTGGCGTGGTGGTTAAGGACACTGGACTCTCACATGGCCGACCGCAGTTTGAGTCTCAGACCTGATGGCTTGCTTTCTCTCTGTCTCACTTTGTCCCTCTCTGATCAAACTGAAATAAGTAAATAAATAAAATAAAGTTAAAATAATTCTTTTTTAAAAAATTAAAAGGAAAGTTAAATAGTTCTTTTAAAAAGGGCACTCTCTTCCCATTATAGAGAAAACCATCCCAGAGACCTTAAGTACCAGCCCGGGTCTCAGAGCTAATCCGGCTTTCTCCAAGGACTATCGCAGCCTCTGTGGGCAGCAGGTAAACTACCTTCCAGGTTAACGATGAGGAGGTGCTAACCTCGGGAGGCTCAGCTGTGCAAATGATCAACTCACCACAGCCTCAACCAGAAAGCGGCTCAAAACACCTTTTCCTTCGAATAAAGCCACTAAATTATAATCACAGATAGGAGCTCATAGTAAGAGAAAAGAATTTCATCACTCAGGAAACGAAGACTGAAAGAACTCCAGGACAGCCTATAAAACATCGCTACTGCCCAGAGGACGCTCCTCTCTTCCGGAACAGCGACAGGAGTGTGTTTTTCCCACCTCCTCCACCTCCTTTTATTTCTGCTCAGATTCGTTCCTGAGACCCTCTACCTAGAGAGTCCTTCCTCTCTGTCTTTCCAGCAAGCACAGCCAGAGCAAAAACCACTCTCTGCATTTGTTTCCACTTTTAAACTTAAGAATTGGCTATGGTAGATAAACATGCTGGATACAAAGTTCTCTACTTTGAGCCATTAGCTCTTAGGGAGAAAAATGAAACCAACACCTGCTAATTTGGAATGTGGAACTTATTATAAGTGATACAAGTAAATTAACACAAGAAGAAAAGTTACAATTTCCAGGCTGGCGGTAGCTACACTTTAGGGAGTGCTGCAGATAAACAGAATGGCCAGTCTGATGGGTCCCCATCACCTGATTTCCAAACTATTTCAGAAAGAATCCCCACTTACAAGTGAAAAACTCAAGAACAGGAAAGGCCATGATTATCTGTAAACCAGGAACTGCAATTTTTTACAAGAATTATTTAATCTTCTTTATCATTATTTTAATTGCGATCACCATAGAGACACAGAGTGAGTAAGAGAGACAGAGAAAGTGAGAAAGCAAGCCTCCGGGTCTAGAATTCAAACTGCAGTTGGTAATGGGAATCCAGCGCCTTAACTACCACACCACCTACTGGCTCCAAAGAATTGTAATTTTTAAAATAATAATTAGGGGGAAAATTTTTTTAATTAAAAAAAAAAAAGGGAAAGAATTCTGAATTGGCCTAAAGAAAGAACTGAGTGAGGCCCAGACAGGAAGAAACTGGTCCACGGCCACATAAGCTGGCAGCAGGGTCAAGACTAGAACCCTGGTCACGGTAGAACCTCTACCATGATCCCAACTGCCCACTGAACAAGGTACTTAAATAGTCATCAATAACCAGCCAGCTCCCTCCAAGCTAAAAACTGACAGCTGATGCTTTTAAAGGAAGCTTAGACATTTGGGCAGATTGCTGAAATCCTTAAAAATTGATTCAGAAATTCTACTCCCAGACTGTACAAATATACAGAAATGAATGCACAAGGGTGTTTACTATAGCGCTATGTATGACGCTAAAAAATTGCAGTCGAAACCAGAAATGGCTAAATAAGCTGATTACAGCTGTAGTACACGACAGTCATTAAAAATTAGGCTACACTTTCTCATGCACTATTAATGATAGAACTCAGTAAGACCTTCCTCAAGGACAGCTTTGGCAACAGGTGTCAAAATGTTAAATGTGTATTTTTTTTTCCTTAGTTTTTGCCATAGGGTACATACACTCGCCAAAGGAAAAAAGAGACAAGGAAAGTGAGAAATCACCCCCCAGAGGTATGGCCATGCTGCAATCCCTCTTCCTCCACTCCTCTCAGATTTTGGGCACTGAGGCACTCGCACCCATCATGTTTGCGATCTGTCGGGTCCAGGACTCAAACCGCAGATTCAATCATGCACCTTAACCACTACACCACCTGCTGCCCCAAATGTGCAGACTCTGACTCAGCAATTCCACTTCAAGGAATTTATCTGAGAACACATCCTAAAGAGTTAATCATGCGGGAACCAGCAGTTAGCGTAATGGCTATGTCGCTGGACTCCCACGTAGTCGACTGCAGTTCGTGTCCCAGACCCGGTGACTTAAAACTCACGCCGGGCACTTGTGCGTGCATGCCCAAGATCCCGAGAGGAGAATGGAGGAGAAGGGATTGCGGCGTGACCATCCCCCCTGGGGGGTGATTTCTCGCTTTCTGTCTCTATGTCTCTCTCTGTCTGTCTGGCGAGCGCACGCGCCCTACAGTGAAAATCTCTCCAAAAAAAAAAGAATTAATCATGCAAGTACCACACGTTTTCACATGCCAAAAGATTCACAGAATACTCAATAATTTAAATACTTTAAAATGGGCAGTGTCATTAAGGTTCAAAAATTAAACAGTCATACATTACAAAATAAAATACTACAATATCAACAACAGTTATGATACCAACTAATAGTTCTCTAACTTTTATGGGTCGCAGACCCGTCTGAAAGCGAAACGCAGCCAGCCACAGCGGCACCGCAGTAGAACAACGGTCTGCAGTGCTGGAGGCCCCGCAGCAAAGTGCATTTTTCAAAACGATCACGCATCACTTTTATAATTAAGGACAGAAAGAAACGTTACTTTCATTTTGAAATGCTCTAACACGGGAATTATTCAAGATGCACTATGAGGTGAAAAGCTCTGGTACTGCAGGACAGTCTGTACCACAGGGTCCCATTTTTATAAAACCAACTATGTATTAAACATGGAAAACCCCTTCAAGGGGCCAGGTAGCATGGTGGTTAAGGCGCTGGACTCCAAAGACTGCTGTCCGTGATATCATTATTAAAAAATAATGATGATAGGGGACCAGTGGGTGGCGTGGTGGTTAAGGTACTGGACACTCCCACATGGCTGACCACGGTTCGAGTCCTGGATCTCATGGCTTGCTTTCTCACTTTCACTTTCTCTTTCTCTCTCTCTCTCCGTGTGTGTGTGTGTGTGTGTGTGTGTGTGTGTGTGTGTGTGCTCGGTTCAAGTTCTGGACGTGGCAACTTGCTTCCTCACTTTCCCTTTCACTCTCTCTGTCTCTCTCTGTTCAAGTTAAAAAATAATAACAAATGGAATTAAATAAATAAATAGATATTTTTAAAATAATGATGATGATAAATAATCCCTTAAAAAAAGAAAACCCCTTCAAGAAGTATATCATAATCTGTTAGCACTAACTGCTTATGGGTGGTAGAAATCAAAGTAGTTTTTAAATGTTTTTATCTTTATCTCTATTTTGCAGCTTTTTTCCCTCCACCATGAGCAAAGTGTATACACAAAATGAAAATAATGATTCTCCCTAAATGGCAAAATTTTTACTTTGTTCTCTGGGCTTTTCAGTATTTTCTACAATGAATATATATAACGTTTATAAGGAAAAAAGCTACAATTAATATAATAAGACAAAGAACATCTATAGATTCAGTGGATTGCATAATGGTTATACATCTGAACTCCCCCACAGCTAACAGCGGTTCAAGTCTTGGACCTAGCAGCTTAAAACTCACTCCAGGCATGTGTGTGTGCATGCCCAAAATCCCAAGAGGAGATTGGAGGAGAAGGAATTGTGGTGTGGCCATCATGCCTGGGGGGTGATCTCTCACTTTCTGTCTCTCTCTCTGTGTCTCTTCGCCCCTATAGCAAAAACTTCTCTTTAAGAAAAAGTTTCCAGAATACAGAACAGTATTTCACTAAAATTCCTAATAAACTCAACAAGGAGGCTGATGTTCCTTGGAACAAGTATTACTAGTATCTGCAAATAGCTATCAGACATGTAAAACAGTTACTGCTGAAATATGGGGGAATGTCTACTTTCATTTATCAGACCCTATTTTCTCCTGGACTTAGGCGTAAGGAAATGGGTTATACAGAAACAAGACGGGCACCTTGTACTCTCTTTGAGACGCTGAATTTTATGGAGAACTCTCTTTGCATCAAGCCCTGTACTAGGCATTGTTATAAACCTTGTTCCTGTGCTCCTTCCCTCCGCAGAGGTCAGAGAGACAGAAACTACTATCCTCATTTTATTGAGGAAGAAACTATAGCTAAAAAAAGCCAGGTGAACTGCCCCGAGTCAGGGCTGAGGCAGGACGTAGACCAAGCTCTAAAATCAAACCCTAGGCATTTTATCCTTACACTCCTCTGACTCATTTTATGTAACTCACCAAAATGTCAGAGGAGTTAAAAAAAAAAAAAACTATTGAGTATCCTCATTTAATTTTTAAATGTTCCTCTCAAAACTGGTAAAAAAAAAATAATAATTTCTACAAAGTATGTTAGACTAAAAATGAAAGAACGTTGAAAAAAGAAAATGTTTAAGTCTTAAGACATCCTAAAGAGATTAAAAGAAGCATCTGCTAGGTTATTTTGCTAAATGTTTTAAATAACATTGCAAAGATCTTAAAATAGTCTATTGCAGCAATTCCACAAGATTAAAAATTACGTTATATGTAATGCACCAAAAAAGCCACCAGAGGGAGCTTTGCATTTAAAATTAAAATCCACAAATGCCTTCAGAAGTTTCAATGGGTATGCTCTAATGATTGCTATTCACGCTGTACTGGAACAATTTAGCTGTCTCCCATTAATCCTCCCGGATTAGAGTGATAACTGCGCACAAATACACAGAAATGACTGGCATAGAGCTGAGCATGGCCAGAGCAGGAACTGGGGAGACCAGTCCTCCTGCCCAAGTGACTCTAAGTCTTGGTCTTCTCATCCAGAAATGGACTACACTTCTGGAGTTGGCACAGAACTACACCAACCCTCACATACACTCCTGAGAACCCAGAGGCCACGTAGGACCCCTAGGCAAGGTCGTACACATTCTCAGGAAGGCAAGGGCCATACAGGAAAGAGACAGTGAGCCAGCCGGGGACAAAGCAGACACAGCACACACTCTCCCCTTCCAAGGGGGCATCTCCCACTGGGCCCAGTTACCACCATGTGTTATTCCACCTTCTGAATTTCTTCAAAAGAAAATCCTTATTTTTTCTTTTCTTTTTTTTTGAGAGGCTTTTTTGTGGGGCTGTCAGGTGGCGTGGTAGTTAAGGGCACTGGACTCCCACATGGCCAACCACAGTTCTAGTCCTGGACTTGGTGGCTTGCTTTCTTACTTTCCCTCTCTCTCTCACTCTGTCCCTCTCTGGTCAGATTAAAATAAATGTATAAAGTTAAAAAAAAAAATTTTTTTATTTTAAAAAAAAAAAAAAAAAAAGAGCGAGAGTGAGAGGCTTTTTTGCTATCGGGCACACATGTGCTTGCCAGAGAAACAGAGAGAGACAGAGAGACAGCAAGAAATCACCCCCCAGGGGGATGGCCACACCGCAATCCCTTTTCCTTCATTCTCCTCTCAGGATTTTGGACACACATGCACACATGCCCAGTGTGAGTTTCAACCAGTCAGGTCTGGGACTCGAACCACAGTCAACCACGTAGGAGTCCAGCAACATAACCATTATGCCATCTGCAGGTCCCAAAAAGTCTGATTTTTAATTCAAATCTCCCAATTTGTAATTACTGACCACTACATTTTTTTAAAAAAAAGCACCATGTGCTAGCATTCTGGCCCAAGATGAAATGCCCAAGCTACTCCCGCTATAATGTTCTGCCTCTCTTAGGGGAGCCACATAAAAAAACGGATTTAAGTTTTGAAAAATGGCAGGACCTATACAAATATAAAGTAATACTATGATTAATAAAGAACACGAGGGGCCAGCAAGTGGTGTGGTGGTTGAGAACACTGGACTCTCACATGGCCGACCATGGTTCAAGTCTCAGACCTCGCGGCTTGCTTTCTCACTTTCTCTCTCTCTCTGTCCCACTCTGATCAAATTAAAATAAATAAATAAAGTTAAATAAATAATTCTTAAAAACAAAAAAAAGAAGAACACAAAACCATTCATATAAACTAACTGCGAGAGTCAACAGGAAGCGAAGGTCAGGTGAAGCAAGTTACTACGCCTCTTTTGGCCTGAACTTACACTTACAAATAGGAAACGGTAATAAGTCCTATGTCAAAACCAAAAGGACAAAATGAAATCATATTTAAAGTAGTCAGCACTGGGTCTGGAACAGAGTCAGAGAGAGAGTGATTAATATTGTTACACCTACTCACAGACAACTACAAATAGCATTTTCCGTGTCATTATTAATTCACCCCTAAAAAGGGGAGAAGACAACAATCATCTGTGTTTATCGGGGGTGGGGTAGGATTATAAGATAACTCAAAGGTTTCTTTAGCTCTAATTTTCTTACTATGACCAAATTTTTTTCCCTTATACAATAATATCCCTATGCTTCAGGAATGACTCAACTGGTCTCGTGTGATTTATTCATGGGAAAAAAAATCAGACTCTACACATTCAAATGCACTGTCCAAAACCTTTGGGGCTAGCTCAGTGGCTTTAACGGTAATGTGCTGCTCAAGCAAAGCTGGATCCATATGGAAGATAAGGGCTTACCTAAACCCACCAGGCAACAGATCCCCAGGATCCTGGCTGGCTGAGGAGGACAGACAGGGACGTGGGGAGAGGGAATGTGTCACAATGAGAGACCCTGTTAGGGTTATTTGTCTTTCTATTTCCCTTTCTCTCTCATTCCCTTCCTCTCTTTCTTACTCTCATGAAAATAAGCTTTAAAAAAAAAGTCTAATGAAATTTTAAAAATTTTTTTCATAACAATTTCTGGAATGTGCATTTTTGAAAGCTTTTTCCCTTGATTCCAGGCTCCTCTTAGTTAAAAATCTAAGGCAGGAGAAAAAGATGCTACAGAAATCCCCGCCTGGAGCCTTACCTGAAAAGCATCTGCTTTAGCATCCGGTTGGCCGTCACAACTCTGGGAAGGCGGCCAGTGGAGAGGGAGTGGAGCTCCAGGTTGGAAGAAATGAGCTGGGTTGTCATGTCTGTGTCTGCAGCTGTCCCAGCACCACAGCAACTGAAAAATATGATTAGAAACTCAGTTAAAATTCAATTACCAGAGGGCTCAATTAGAAGTGGAGCTTCTTGGATAACGTCCACCAAGTTCAGGTACACAGAGATGTTTTGTATGTATCTGCACTGTAATCACTCGGTCTAAGCAATCTTAAATAAACACGAAACTGAGAATACATATCTAATTATATGCAAATATATTCTCTGTGGCCCAATGGAACATTTGATTCATTAGTTTCTATGCTCCTAAGAGACTGTGCATTTTACTAATCCTACAAATACACCCCAGTTGTACAGAAGAGCAAGGTGTGGGGGGCTGGCAGGTAGCATGGTGGAGGCGCTGGACTCCCATATGGCCAACCGCGATTTGAGTATCAGACCTGGAGGCCTGCTTTCTCATTCACTCTCTCGCTCGCCAAATTAAGAAATAATAGTAAGTATATTAAATAAATAAATCTTTTTTTTTTTTTTTAAAGAGCAAGGTATGTAAAATGTCTTACAACTCAGGCCAGCAGATGGCATAGTGGTTAAAGTGCTGGACTCCACATGGATGACCACGATTTGAGTCTCAGACCCGGTGACTTGCCTTCTCACTTTCCCTCTCTCTCTCTGCCTCTGGTGAATTTTTTTAAAAATAATAACAATAGATAAAATAAGTAATTTTTTTTTTAAGTATTACAACTCAGAGCCAGCAAGTGGCATGATAGTTGCGCACTGGATCCCATATGGCCAACTCCACAATTTGAGTCCCAGACCCAGTGGCTTGAAAAACACAATGGAACTAGTTGTTTGTGCCCCAAATCCCAAAAAGACAAAGGAGCAGAAGGAATTGAGGAGTGGCCTTCTCCCTGCACTCTTGTCCCCGCAGGGGTCGGGGATGGGGAATGATATCTCCCTTTCCCTCTCAATCTGGCAAGTGTACATGCCCTATAACAAAAAATTTTTAATTAAAAAATGGTCTCAAAATCAACCAGGTATGTACTACCAGGTACCAGTCATTATACTAAACACGGAAACAGGACACAGTCCCAGTGCTTGATTTCACATTTTAATGGAGGAGACACAGGCAGGCAAAAATCACAGTCCACCATATAATACAATGTAGTAGCTCAGTACAAACTGCTATGGGAGGAGAGAGCAATGAATTCTCATTAAGAAAAGGTTTCTTGGGGCCAGCAGGTGGCACGGCTGTTGGGATGCCGGACTCCCACATGGCTGACAGTGGCTCATGACCCAGACCTGGCAGCTTACTTTCTCACTTTCTCTCTCTCATGAGCATACATGCTCCACAGCAAACTTTAAAATAATAATAAACATAATTAAATAAATAATTTTTTTTTAAAAAGTAAAAGGTTTCTTATGAGCTGGATTTAAAAGAATAAAAACACTCTACAAGCAGAGAAGAGGGCAGTGCATTTCTTTCTATGCAGAGATTGGAATGAAGGTGAAACAGCTTGGAGACAAGGCGAACAGGGGCATAGGCAAACGCATGACAAAAACAGGGACAGCCCAGGTATAACTGGATCACAGGGTGATGGCAGCTAAAAAACAGATGGAAAGAAAAGCTGTTTGTAAGATTGTGCAAGGCATAAATATCAGGCTACAGTTTTGATTTACCCTCAAAGTAGTGTAAAGATGTAAAATGTCTCTAGAAAAGTTTTTAAAGCAAATAAAGTACGTAACTGGACCTGGGGTGTACAAAATATGGCAGAAGAGTGCACAAGGGGATGGAGAAGAGACTGGAGGCAGTGAGGCCAATTAAATGACAACTGCAATAGTCCAGCTGAGAAAAGAATCTGAACAAAGACTTAGCAGAGGGACAGGAAGAGATTAATTCAAAAGGCACATCAAAGGCAGAACTGACTGCCAACTGAACTGGAGACTAAAGCCGAGGGAAGATGGGCATGACTACCTTAAATGGTAGGTGGACAGAAATACCATTTAAGGTTAAAAAGAAAATACAGGTTTAACAGATTTTAGTGGAGACCCCAGCAGTTCAACATGAGCCCTGACATGTTTAAAAATATAAAAACTATTCCAATTAACCAATACTTACTAAATATTAGGAGATATGAAGTGTATTTTTGAACAGTTCTTGTCAGCAACAACCATTCCTTCAGTTGCCCTTGTATCTGCTCCAAGAACTATGCCATCCTATTTTAAAAAATAATAATAAAATGTTTTGAAACAATATGACGAATATAAACCACAGAGCTCTTCTCTAGGGAGAATGGCACTGGCCATCCCCTGCTCTCCCAGCCCCATACTCCCAGCCAAAACTCCCACCAAATGCACTGTGCTAAACTTTCAGAAATTTAAAAAAGAAAAAAGGTTCATAATAAGTCTTACTGGTCTACTGGTTGAATCTTGAGTAGGTGGTGAGAATTATCATTCCTATTTTAAATGAAGGGCAGAGATTTGGTGACTTCCTTACAAATCAGAGCTAATCTGGGAAAAATCTGGATCAAAACCCAGAAACCATTCCATTAAAATAGCCACCTATGCCAATTTCTTTTTAGACAGTGTGGCTTGTCATAGGTAATAACATTAGCATTGTCGCTTGTCAGCCTGACAACGATTTAAGGCAGGGGTCATTATCTGTTTCACAGATAGGGAAGGGGTAGCTGTGAAGAAAGAAAGCGACCCAAAGTTGGAAGCAACAGCTAACACACCTGATTGACCCCAAATCCTGTGCTCTCCCATTACACCATCCTACTTCCTTAAGTATCAACTTACAAAAAAGTAAATTGCAATGTTAAAACTTCTGTTAAATGAGAAAATACACTAAACAGCTGATAAGCACAATCTCCTGACAAAAGCGGACTCTCCAAAGGCCTGCTCCTAATGCAGACGGCACCAGGAGAAATAAATGTGGCCAAGTGGCCTGGTTTCTGCTGACAGCTGGGACACTGCAGTTCTAGTCCAGACGCGGCTTACCTTATAGACCACCCCCGCGATTGTCGTGCCAGTTTTCCGGGCCTTTGGAAGCTTGTACCCCTTCTTTGCAAAATC